ACAAGCATAAGCTTTCGTGCTTGATTTCGAAGACTACTAACCATATGTATGTGTCAACTCAATTGTCTAAATTAGAGAAAAAAAAATTGTTAAGTGCCGACGTGATCATTAATAATAGCAACGAAGATAAGTCGCGATAAATCAAACATTGTCCATGTCGTCAAGGCTTTTATATGAATCCATATCCGTTTGTCAAACTAACTTTTAAATGGAGAAGACCATGTTTTATTTTCTTAAAAATGAATATTAATAGACGTTTAATTTTTTTTTTTATTCCACTATAATTTTCTCTTATCAGAATATTTCTGAATCAGTACATATGTGTAATTTGATCTTAATAAACGAATGACCATCATTTTTTTTGTTGTCATTCTCTCGGGCAAATATTTTTATCATACATTATAAATATAAGAACAGTGAATATGATTGAACCACATGGTAGGCAATTCGTGAATTTCTTAGCTCGGCATGAGGCTCTTCTCTTCTTTTCATCATTAATCGAATTGACGAAGGTCTGTCAAAAAAAAAAGTGAAAATTTCTTCTCTTCGCTTATTTAAGAACTCATCATTGTCACCATGTGTTGATGGTGATCTCAATCTATTTGATACCTATGTTAATTAAAAAAATCTGATGGCTTGTCATTTATTCAATCAATGAGAACGGTCAGCTTTCATTTTGACTTTAACAAGAAGAGAACAAGATAAAAAGAGATAATTAGAAAATCCGTTTCCGTTTTCTTCGTTTTTCTCATGTTTCAAAAAGAACAGCGACGTACACTCCTACTTAGTTTTTATCTTACTGTAATGAATATGATGATAGCGCGGCATCAAGAAAGCCCTAACAGTAAAAGAAAAAAGAATACAATGTATCATGTCTATGAAAATTGTTCACACTTTTTTAATCCTTGTACTGTATGAATGAAAATGAAATTAGTGTATGTTTATAGAAGCGAGAGGCGTCCTTGTCGCTTGTCTAGTCAGACTCATGCCATGATGGGACGTGCTAAAAAACAATATAACCATTGCCGTTAGATACGCTATCTTCCTTCTTTTTTTTTTCGTTAGTACTACTAATGCAGTTAGCATGATCAGTTCTGTAGACATTCGGCACTATTGTTTTTTTTACTACATATTTCAATGATTTTTCCTTCAAAGACAGAAGGCACGAGTTGGCCGTCACATTTTTGTTTCTTTTCCTCGAAAAATAAATACAATTATGACTTCTTCAATCTGAAGTGAAGATCGATGGGAGAGATGCATCTATAAAGCGAACAATCGTATACTCTCAATACAAAATATATAAAAAAATGGCAATCTTCAGACAATAAAATTAAAATGTTTTATACATGAATGTTTTTATGAAGAGAACTATTCACATCAAATAAATTCTCTAATAAGTTTTCACATACATTTCATCTATAATTTTTTAAAATATAGATCTATTCAATTAACAATTTGAGTTAAAGTCTATTTTAGATTATTCGTGATTGACATTATGAATAAGCACATCAATAGTAGCATTCATACTTCTACTACTTGTTGTAAATCATTTCATCATTAATTATACAATTAATTTTTCATATTGTTCGAGAAAGCAGACGATTATTCATTTTCTAGTTATATTTTAATTGAATTGTAGTGTCGTATAAGAGTGAATGATTACAATTGATTTTTCTTTGAGTGATAGAAAAATCTGAAATGTACATATCAATTTAAAAAGATTAGTAAGTTGAAATTATTGTGTACCATTCATTGACTCTGAGCATGAATCGCTGTTAATACATTATAAAGATTTGAAAAATATTGATCTATATAGAAGTATTAGAACAGATGAATTGTATAAATCTTATGTTTTTCTGTTTTGATCCTTGACATGCACTTTATCATTTAATGATCTTCATGTAATTGGTATAATTCTGTTGTTTTCTTACTCTTCTAATGACTTTAATCGTTTAGAATTGCACATAATTTTCATCTTCTTTTACTCAATCAAAAGGCTTTTTTGTTAATTCTGATTCCAAGTCGAATAGATTCATGACAAGAAAAAGAAAAATTTTATGTTATTTCTTGGACATATGATAAAGACATGGTTGTTTTTATGTTTTTCAATAGAAATCCTTTGTAGAATATAATCTTGTTTTTTTTTGCATAGAGATGAAAGAAAATCAAAACTGATCAAAGTATTCTTAACTATAAGATATTATTTATCGAATTTAATGGGAAAAAATAATATAAAAGATCTAGAACGTATCTCACACTCTTAATTTCAAGTACAAGACTAAAATACTACAATCAAATGTGTATAATTTATGAGTAAGAGTTAATCAAGCGAAACGATTTCTTTTTTGCTCTATTCTAGAAATTCTCTTAGTTCATTATTACGATAGCAAAGTTTTTTTTTTTTTTAGAGGAGTTCGAGAATAAGATTCTCATCGAATATCATTCATCAAAAATCTCCTTTATTGTTAATTCTGATAAGTATAAAAGTGTTGCTGAACATGTTGAAGCCAAAAAATAAAACACATGCAGAATATTGATTCTGATGACTTAGTAACATAGATGTCTTAAAACATACAAAGAAACATATTTCTGCAAGTAATCACACTAAAAATGCTCATCCAGTAGAGCCTTGAAGTGAACTGTGAAATCTGACTCAGACTCAGACGGAAATCGAGAATCACTAAAAGAATTATCTTAGAAGTTAATGTCGGTGCTATGTCAGTAAAACAGGCATGTACTTTAACTCATACCTAGTGACAAGTTTATTCTTCATATATTTAGTAATAAATAAAAGCACACTACTTCAGAGATAGAACCAGTATCAGATATCGATCCATTTGATATCGATACTGCTCGTGAAAAATCCAGATCTGTGACATCTCTATGATACTTTATAGATTTATTAATAAATTTCAAGAAAAAAAACATCATGGAGACATTGTCATTATTCTGATGTAAATAGTCTTTTCATTTTATTTGAAATATATTATTTAGTTAGATGTTTTTGATCTTCTAGAATTCATTCTATCGATGATATTTCATAGTATAATCAAAGAAGAGATTCATTCAAAAAGTTCAACAACATATTCATAAAATGATCTTTACGCAAAAATGCGAATATCGTATACTGTTATCGACCACATTAAATTTTTTCTATAAAATGACTATTTCTTTCAATTTATTATTTTTTTGGCAATAGATATTAATGTGATCGTGTACATGAAATATCGAAGTACGCAGACGTTCTCGTCTCCATCGGAAAATATTTAGATCATATTTCAAATTGTTAGATATCGTATTCTTAATTGTATTACACAACTCGCCTTGAATGCTTTACATGAAGGTTTTTCGTTAGAGAAGACAATATCACCGGAGAAATTGCCTCTCATTGTATTTAGATGAAAAATAGTAAAATCGTACGAAGTGCAGATGACTGAGATATACGAGACAATTTTATGATGGCTATTAACGTCTATTTCTTTCGTGAAATCAACTTATGTGATAAGGTGACAGCACTTACACAAGTACCTTGGCATGAGCGATAATTACCTTCGACAGAACGTGTGACCTATCTTTGGTCTGATTGCTCATCTTCTTGTATTCAAGGCCTTTTTTTGAAATATGCTTCTCTTAAAAAATATCATTATCTTCAAAAGGCACGATGACAGCACACAAGAAAAAAGGTCGTAGGTGAAGATAAGACTTTGAAAATGAAATGCTAATTTAAGCAACACTTTTGATAATAGGTTTTTGATTGAAGTGAACAAGGATACATACGGATCTTATATAAAAACAAGCTGTGAGCACAATCTTTGCGGGATTAAAATGTGGAACACGATATAGTTGTTATTGCTAATTATAGGGAGATCGCTTTATTCGATCTATTTTGGGACACATTTCTTCGCTATTCTTTTACTTAATCCTCTTGAAAAGCTATAAGAAATTAGTTAATATGTTATCAAGAGATGTTATTGATATATGATTCGTGGATTCAAATTTTTACTCCTATACTTCATCACGCCTTTTAGATCGTGTTTTACAAAAAGACATTTATATACCAGGCATTCTCGATACAATAGAGGATAATCTAGAATTCTAAAACGCGACTGCAACTTTCACAGTGAGTTTGAAACAGATTTCTTCTATTTAATAGTATGGGTATTATTAAGTTTTATTGTGTACCGTTGAGATCTCAATAGAGGACGCTATATACGCCATGGTTACTGTGGAATACAATAACGGTTGCGTCCTCTATTGAGCGCTCAACATTGTACAATAGAACTTGATAATTCATTAACCATTCGATAATGAAAAGCTTTCCTCTACAATCCTAAATTTATCCTATTCTGAGATTAAAACCTTATGATCGTTTTTCTGTGTCAAGAAAACTGAAATGTTCAACACTAATGCATAACTTTAGAAAAACATTGTTGAAAAAAACATAATAGAATAAAGCTAAACTAAACCGAGATGATATTCTCTAGTTAATATCTGCTTATCTCGATATTCAAAGCTAGTATTCTCTATAAGCTATCAATTTCGTTTTTCAATTATTTTTATATTCATGTACCTTTTAAAGCAAACGTATACAGGAACATATACTAAAACACAAACTAATCGTGTAGGATCAATGGATACAATCAACAAGAAAAAGACATTTCCCATACCATGTAAAAGAATTAAAAGCAATAGTCTTTTTTGTCCTTAAATTTTTAATGGTCTGGATTGAAAGATAAAAACTTTTTCAAGAGTATTAATAAGAATGTACTTAGAGTTGATAAGAAAAAAACAATACTATAGATGACGATATATTCTCTTCTGTTTTTTTTCTCAACGTACTGCAGTACGATCGTGGTAAATATTTTTCCTTTTCTATAAGAACAAACAGATTGTTTGAAGAACACTGACTTTTGCTTTTCATTTTTTTTTTGTTTTTGTTTTTTCATCTAGCATACATATCTAGAAAGAGTTATATATGATATTTATCCTCTATTGCAGCAATGGTAAGTTCAAATCTATTTGTCTTATAAACATTAGAGTACTACAATTCATTGTCATAGATTGAAGAACAACAAGTACCACTTCAAACAATATCAGCTGATGTAGTCGAAACATCTGAAAAATCTTCATTATCTATTTTTGAAACTCTATGGCATCGATTACGTGAACATTCGGGAATTTGGTATATGTTAGCAGCAAATATGCTATTTGCTTGTTGTATATTTGTATTAAAACTTATTCCAGCTGATATGTTTGATATAATGATTGGTCGATTTTTGATACAATCAATTGTATTTGGTTCATATGCTGCTTTTTATAAACATTATAATGTATTTACTACTAATGGACAACCTATTGCATGTACATTGAATATGTTAATGTCAAGTGGAACAAATTTAACATATTTAGCTGCATTTTATTTTCTTCCATTGTCGGATGTAAATGCTATCAAATATACATATATTGTTTGGGCGGCAATATTATCAGTTATAATTTTTAAAGAACGCTTTAAATTTATAAATGCTATTGCATTAATATTGACAATATGTGGATTAATACTTGCTACAAAACCTCAATCTTTAATAAAAATTTTCATTCATTCATCTGATCAATCAACAATATCTACAAATACAACAAAATCTACAACTACAATAATATCTTCTACAGTTACGAGTTCATTCTATTATCATTTAGGTATTATTTTCGCTTTCACATCATCATTAACAAAAGCTGCACAAATGACGGCGAGAAAGCAATTAGTTAAAAAGAAACAACCATATTCTGTTATGAATTTTCAATTTACAGCATTTGCTTTAGTTGTTGCAGTGATTTATAGTCTTATTCGAAGATTTTGGCAATCAGATCCATATCCATGGAAATGGATATCTACAGCTGGTGTTGCTATTGGATGTTGTCATTTAATAACAAATACATTTTATGCTAAAGCATTAAAAAGAGAAAATCTTCAACTATTATCTATACTTGGTACACTTGATATAGTTTATGCTTGTTTATTGCAATATATATTTTTTCGACTTACAAGACCTTGGATGTTTTATATCGGAGCTTCATTTATTGTTACATCAGCGATTATACTTTCAATAGATACTTATTTAACGAATAAGAAATCAAAGAACAATAAAAATCAGAAGAATGATATTTAATTTATTAAATTTATTTATTTGTTGATTTAATAAAATAAAATTCACTATATTTAGTGACTAATTATTTAATAAAATTAACATTTTCATAGCAAAGTTATGATTGATTTTTGAATAATTTATTTATTATACTTCTATAAATTCTTAGCTAAACTAAAGAATGATAATAATTTATAGTTTATATACTATGTTCACTTGAATTTATACGGTATTTCGACTTTAAAGTTTCTTATTAAATATATTCGTAACCATTTTGAACCAATATCATAGGTGAAAAAAATCAAACAAATGCATGGAAATACATCAATAAAATAAATCATTTGATCTTCTAAATAAATTAATCGTTGTAAACATTCTTGACAACGCTTATAATAAATATAATTTTGACGAAGATTAATGTCTGTTATAGATCTAAATATCATGAAAAAATCAATAGATGCTCTACTATGATTTCGAACGGACGCATCTTATCTCGGTCAGTATGTCCTTTGCCGAGAGATGATAATCTGTATTTCGGTGTTGTCACTGTCGACGATGTAATTATTAGCAATATCTGTTTTTGACGATCTACATTTTCAATGGTCAAAACTATCAGCGATAGTCTGAGATTATGCAGGTAGCCGATATATATTATATATGTATATATGATACAAATATTTGGAAAGAATGAATGTAAGAAATGATTGCCGAAACCAAACGCAGAAGCATTAATGATCGAAAGTAATTCGGTGATGAGTCACTCAATCTTAAACTCTTTGCTATAGAAGTCGATTTTTGTATTAATGATAACTTTTATCTGAAAATGAAAAGGATATAACAGTAATAGGAATCAAGTTTTTCCATAAGAGGTGCAGATGAATGTGGATGTTGATTTTGTATTAACCCACAGACTTACATCCACCCACCCACACCCACCCTTATCAGAGGATAATAACATGAAAAAAAATTCAAAAATGCTCATCCCTGCATAACACTTGTTAATATATATGCATCGATAAATCAACAGATTGCCGTTTTTGATACATGCGAGCATCATTTATTGTTATATAAATGTTTGATGGTATCATCAGTCTCATAGCCGATCACCTATTTCTCAATAATACTTTTCTTTTGTTCTCACATCTCGAATTGCCAAATCATGCTGCATATAGGGAAGCACATTTGAACAATCTGCTTATACGGATGACCTACTGAAGTGATCAATAATCTATCACAATGGCTGTTTTATTGGTGACTCTTCCTCGACCGTTACAAGGGTGAACGGTTGATATATTTGAAAGATATTTACTTAGAAAATGCTTATTTATTCAAAAGGTAATGTTTTAGAATACTATGAAGGAAATTAGTAGTTGGACAATGAACACGTAAGTTAAATATTGAACTCAAAAATCAAAAAGCCTTTAAACACGATCGTATTTTTATTCGAAAAAGTTCAAAAAGATGAAAGTGTCGAACAATACTTGGTCATTTTTATTTCCGTGCACTTTTTCCATTAATTACAGTAGCATGCATCTCCTGTTTGGTTGCCTTCTGAAATGCACTCAAGCCTTGATAATGTTGGTTGCCCCAATTAAAAATGAGACTACTCTGTGTTGCTTTACTGCCATTCGGGTAGTAAACTTGACGATCAAATACATTCTTCAAACTACCAATCGGATCTGTATAGAGAATAATGTTTTGTGCAGTCGGTTTGACAATATTGGCATTGACAGAATTATTGGATGCAAAAGAAACAACAATTTCTCCACTTCCCGTACGCTTGGCATCGTTATACTCAAGTCGATTAGCTTCGAACAAACTATTGATAACACGTCCTCGACTATGAAAATAAAACAATATTCTTTTCATAGTTACATAGACTATTGGGTGACTTACTTTTGACCGTATCCACCGAAGGCAAGACCAAGTTTGTCATTGTGATGAATGTAATTTTTTCGAACGATCATTTTCGACGCTATTCGACCTTGATTTTCAGCTCCGATTTCTATTCCAGCATCCGAATGATGGATTTCATTCATCTCCACGGTAATATTCGATCCTCCATCTACATAAATACCTGCTGCACTAGAATCATATGTCGAATGAATGTTCCAGACTGTATTATTAGCACATCGGCCAGAACGAGCCCCAAGAGCACCCATTCCACTTTCTCCACCTATTGAACAAAAAAATCAAGTATTTGATAAATCCAATTCACATTAGAGAAAAAAACATGAAACTTAATTCAGTTTTATTTACTATTCATGAGAAAAGTTATGATATAAGGAGACTAATTTTTCGATAGAAATCCACATTTTTCATTACATGAAATCTATGAAAAAGAAATCCTGTTGTGTTCAATTAAAAACAACTCCTTCCTTTATAGAAGGTGCTATACATGTACTATTTCAATGTCTAAAACAACTCTAAAAGAATACTATTCAAGGTCATACCGATAAAGTCGATGCCAATATTGTTCATATTGTAGACGCGATTGTTTGTAATTTGAAATTGTTCGACGTTACCATTGAGAGTTAATGCCTCACTCCAAGCTGGCTGACAATCATGTAATGTACAATTATTAATAATCAATTCTCTACGACTCGTTTTTTGATCTTTGTTATAAACTGTAATTGCCATAGCTCCACCTGCTTCTCCTCCACCACGTATATGATGAATAAGTAAATTGCGAAGCTCTTCAAATAAAAAAGCATATCTTAACTTCCATATATCAGAAGAAACTGTTCTAATGGGATCTCTTAACCTTTTTCGAAAAGAGTTCATGCAATTTATTTGTTGTACGGAAGAAGAAAATTCTTTTCTGCTAAGAAAAATAAGAATTAAATGAACTGTATAAATAAATTTCTAGATTATCAGATGAGTTTCAATTTCTATTTTGAGCAAATGTTTGTTGAGAAAAGAATTTTTACCATTCAGTTTTAGCTCTTGTAAAAAACTAAAATTTCTGATAAAAAGTAATGTTTGATATGAATCGACTGAACTCAAAATATGTTGATTGTTAGTAGTCATAGTAAAAATTTAGTACACTTCTGATTTTAGTTTTGTAGAATCTCAAATACTCCTGAAGATGTTATTAGTACACATGAATGTAATAGATAAAATCGTACCAATACGTGTACCACCACCAACAATTCTGATTCCACTACATTCCGTACTTGTCAGATTGGCCAATTCAAGATTGACAAAACGTAGATAACTCTTGTTCTCCATATAGATTAAATTTAATGTTCCATCCGATGATCGATTTCTCGCTTGTTCACCCGAAATAATCGGTCGAGTATTTAGCATCAAATTAGTGAATGTGATTGGTCCATCTTTAGCATTACCTTGAACAAGTATTGTTACTGTTTCGTAGTAAGTTCCTGGACCAATATAGACAGTAGAACCAGGTGTAGCCTGACTAGCTGCCTTTTGAATTGTGCGCCATGCTGCTGATTGATTTGTTCCCAAGTTTCTATCATTGCCAGATTTAGTAACATAGTATGATTGTGCTGCATCTATTAATTTGAAGGTAAAGAATTAGTTCAATGAGATCAAAAGTAACGTAATGAAATGTTATTCTCTAACTTTTTGAATATCTACTTCGTCATTTACCTGCTGGAGTCCATAGCCAAATGATATAAAGGCAAATGCATGTTAGTTGTGTGTTCATGGCAAAGTAAAAATTAAAATGTATGGTACTTTAGCGTTTTTTATCTGAATTTAAATAGGCTTCTTTCTATTTTTTTCGAAAATATGTTTTGGTTACACTCTTGAAAAAATAATATGTAATACATGAAAGATATTTTTGAAGCATTACTTTTTTAGAGTAATTATTAACAGTGAAAGCCGTTAAGTGCCGTAGCAGTTATTCATTTTATGTGACAACGAAAAAATCGAGCAGGACAAATAAAACATTTATAATAAGTTTTTTTGTTGCTATTGGTTTTAGTAAACTGGATTACCTTGCTGTGAGAATAGAAAATAGAACGCTTAATCTACCACTAAATCGTAATAGAAGGAATTAAGTTGTATAATTATTTCGATTTTCGACAGCAATATAGGCTATGATGTCTTTGAAGATAAATTTTCAGATGTTGCAACCACTTGTGACGCTCATCTGTTTATTATGGCAAATGCTTGGAAACCAAGAGCCGAATGTTTTAGATAAAAGTGCGCGAGAAAAGTAGTACGTCGTTAGGGGTGCAACCTTAATCTTTTTTTTCCTTTCTGAAATAAAGCTAAGTCAATTTCTTTTTCGATTCGCTACCTCATAATTTGTTTTTGATGATTGCTGAAGAATGTTGATGTAGTTCTTCTCTTCATCCCCAATTAAGTGTGCCATTCCCTCATTGATATTTGCTAAAGAAGCTTATAAGATGCAGCTGAAATGAAATGCTAAATTGTAATGGTTTTCTTTGTACCTCTCTCTATTCGATGGTTACATATTCAAATGATCTCATATTATCAGTTATAGTTTTTAAAGAACGCTTTAAATTTATAAATGCTATTGCATTAATATTGACAATATGTGGATTAATACTTGCTACAAAACCTCAATCTTTAATAAAAATTTTCATTCATTCATCTGNTACCATTAGCTCAAAAAGCTTAAACAAATTTCAATTTTAAGTTGCCGAGCTCGAAAAACAAAATCAGTAACTAACAAAAAAAACTTGTAAGTTTTTGCCATAAAAGTCCTATTAGAAGGCCACCCTTAATAGAAGGCCACCCTGAAAAGTCCGATGTGAATTTCCATAATAGAAGGCCATGGCCTTTTATTCTGGGGGGGAGTTTAGGTTGTCTCCACTACTATTAGAAAATTTATTAATACGAGTGTCACTCCTATTAATAATTTCCTGTCTCATGTCATCTCAGATGCTATTTATAAATCTTCTATCCCAGGTCGAGACGAACGCGCTGTATCCCAGCAGATGAACATGCTCCGAGCCTCACGTGACCTTCAGAACTAGGATGTGGGTGTGGGGGTGTGGGTGGGTGTGGGCGTGGGTGGGTGTGAGTGTGGGTGGGTGTGGGTGTGGGTGTGTGGGTGAAGTGTGGGTAGTGGCGTGGAATTAGGTGTGAAAGAGTGGGTATGGGTGTGTGGGTGTGGGTAGTGGCGTGGAATTAGGTGTGAAAGAGTGAAAAAAAATCCACACCCACACCCTTGTCGAAATCGTGACGATTCGCCTGAGTACATAAGCCACTCATGAATCCATACACTAATCGATGCAGAATTTCACGATCTATCGAATGGTGTATAGCTTGCATGGCTGAACATAAACTAGTTGGGACTTTGACCCGTGAAAATCTTTGAAACTTGGCAAAAGGTGGAATCCCTCACCAGTTAATCCCATGACAATTCGCTCTGATACATATAGCAACTGACAAATCATACATCATTCAATAGAGCAACGAATTGTGCATTGATTGATGTGTGACTCGTTTGTGATTTATGTACCTGAACGAATCATCATGGGATTTAGTCGGTTATGACAGTCTTTTATCGCGATGAATTTTACATCATTCGATAGATCGTGAAATTCTGCATTGATTAGTGTATGGATTCATGAGTGGCTTATGTACTCAGGCAAATCATCACAATTTCGACGAAAAATGCTAATCTGTCTCTATATGCGTTATAGATTTGTTTGGGTTTTCTGGCGATCGAGTTTACGTTTCGTTGGATCTGATGACAAGATTAGATAGAGCCCGTCGAGTTGTAGATGACTTACTATTTTGCTTTTGTGGCTTAGTCGTTCAGACGAATTGTTGTGGGAAGTACTCGAATTTGCTGCTAACTTTGCTTACATAACGAAAAGCCTAATTTATATATACACCTTTACTTGTTAAAATTGATAAAATTTTGTGCGACCGAATTGCGACGCTGCAAACAAAATTGCTTGTTGGCGCAGTACGAATTCCTTTTCTTATCTCATCAATTGATGAATCATAGTTTTTAACGTTATTGTATTGATTATGTTTCGTATTGGGTTAGCAATTTCAACGGATGTCGTGCTATCATTAATTGTTCGTATAACCACTTTTCACGGGTCTTCAGATTTCATTTCTTTTTATTAACTAACAAACAACATCATAGTGGGTAAAAAAAAATAATCGAAACATATATCAAGTGGTCTAAAATCGTTCATCGATTATACCTTTCCATATGACTCGTAATCGAAGAAATAACAAAAGAAATTCATCTTGTATCAAAAACACTATTAGATGATGAAAAATTAAATACAAAACATGACCATTTACTTAGGCTCACCTATTATTTTCTTTCAGTACTTTTTGACAGAAAACAAACATTGAAAACTGTTTTGAACTTTCGAACAATAGTTTCACGACTTAGAGCTTTTTGAGGGTTGCAAACAGCAATCATCAGTACACAAACTTCAAGAACTGAAGATTCTAATGATTGTAGTAGTTGATGACGTGTAATAAACTTTATCGGTAATTGATAGTTTTATTTTAGTTTACATCATATACTTTCAGTTGTATTCGTTTCATTATCAAAATCGTCATAATTATCATCGTCTGTTTTGGCTATTATAAATCCAAGTTTTTCATCGATAGATTTTCTTTCGTATCATTTCAATGTCATATAATTCACAAAAAATTAAAAACAAAAACAAATGTATAGTTATATCTTATTAAGTTTTTTTTCATTTTGATTGAAACTGTTGAAGTAATACGAGCAACAAAAAAAAATTAAATTAACTGATTTTTAAACATGTATGCAATGATTACAAATTATAGAAGTTTTCTTAGATGTACAAATGTAACGATATTCGACTTCAAATAAATATCAAGATATTTTATTATTGAATATATACTTTTTTTGTAAAACGAAATAATATTTTGAATAATATGAAAAACAGTTCTTTAATATTTAATTATTTTAAAATTAATATCGATCAAGTATTTTCATTATCAACAAATGTTATGAGAGCAAAAACAGAGAGCCATTCTAAATAACCCCTTCGTGGAACACTGTGAGCAGAACAGAATTAACAGATTAATTATTCTCTTCCTTTTTATTTTTACATTGAAAACAAAAACAATTTAAATTATTGCAAATTTATTTGCTTTAATATAAATAGCCAGAATTTTGAGTCGGTGACTAAGGCATCAACTTGAAAATTCTTTTATCTTAATTTTTGAATCTCTATGAAGAATATTCATTCATGAATCTGATGCTATGTCGTTGTTCGGGTAAAACTTTGGTCTACTTGAAAAAGCTTTATAGTATTGTAAATATTATTGGTACCATGATTAAATAATGTATAGGTCTTCAGTGTATAGTATAAATCAGTAAATTTTGTTTCTTCGCTTTTTCTGTCTATTTTACTTGTGTATTATTTCTATGGTGCAAATGGTCAATTATATTGTCCATTAAGTAAGGTAGTGGGAACAAGTTTAACATCAATGTATTTTTTACTTCTTTCTCTATAATGAAACTATGATGGCAAGGTTGCTAAAAAAAACTGGACACGGTAGTTTTTAGAAATCTTGCTATCATAGTTCATTTAGTATAAAGTGCATTACATAAAATATTCTGCTTCTGGATTTGAACTACGCATTTGACATTATAGAAAAAAAAATTAAACAAATTCGCTGTTATTGAACTTTTTTCTACCACCTTCCTTTAACCGTAGTTAATCGATTAGTTATTTTTCTGAATGTTTTATAAATAAATAAAATTCTATTGTAATCAGTGATAAAAGTACTATTGATGTCATATTACTTCTTGGTAATACTCTATAGCCAGTACCCTTGTACAAAGCAGTTAAAAGTAAATTAAATATTTTTTTCTTATCGTTGGTCAAATCAGTTTTTGTCTGTTCTTTTCTCATTACAGCAAATAAATCTGGCATTTCGATCTTTATCTTTTTATTTTTTACTTAAAAACGTTTCGTCTATTAATATTTTTTTTCTTATAAAGCTTTTAGCCCTTGCTAAAATAACAAACGAATCATAAATAGAACTGTTTATTCAAGATAAATATATTTGAAATCTTGTACCAAACAACATATTTATAATTACCGCAGAATAAAAGTTTGGTAAGATGCACAATTACATGCATATTATAGCATTTTGATATTTTATTTATTTGCTTTTTGATTTTATTGTTAAGACGAATAAATGTCATAAAAATTGATTTATAAAAAAAATGTGATAATTTATTTCTTTGTTTTCTCTTCATTCTCTAAATGAAATCGCTTGCCTATTCACAAAAGGTAAAAGGCAAATACTTGGTTTGATAATCTTGTCAGTTAAGAGTACCCTACCGATTCACTTTAACTCAGTATATGTAAATGTATTTTTTTGTTCTCATTTTTCCATCTCGTCTCTATTGCACGTCCAATAAATCGAGCAATAGTAAAGAAATGTAATAGGTCTCGGTTTTTTTTTCTTTTTTGTTGGAAATGCAAACGAAAGAAGACGAAAACGTTGATCAGGTGAATACACTCATATATATACTGTAACATTCGATAATGTCGACATGCGCGTCCTAGGAAAAAAAAGAAGAAAAAAAAGAGAATCGAACGAAAAAAAAAGAACCCTTATTCGATAGTGGAGGCTTCGAGCGTTATGGCACATACATATAACACGTACTTACGAATGCAACATCATCGGTTTGCAATAGAATACAGCATCGAAAAA